GTTCAACGCTCTGTTGGGTAGGAAACAATGGGATAATTCAAAAATGTTTTCTAACCTATAAGATACTCTTTCCTTGACGGTAAAATTAGAAGATAACCTCACTTTCTATCAAACAGGCACACAAAGGATGATATTTTTTGAGTTTTCAGTAAAATATGTTTGGATTCATAATAACATAAGAAGCAGGGTCAAAAATCATGCCAAGTAATTAGTCATTTTTTATCGAGTAAGAGGAACATTCAAAAACTAGCGTACTTAGGCGGCCAGAATTCAAGTGTATTGTGTCGCACGTTGTTCAATTCTACAATCCTACTCTATCGATTTTTTCTAAGCGACTGGGATTATTCATCAGATAATACGTTTCTTGATAATAGTTAGGTCTATATGGCTATGGGCTAATTACTTGCTTAATTTTGCTTTAGGATACGGACTTTTGTTTGATCTAAATAACATGATAATGAAGATGTTTTCGACTCCTAAAGTCGAAAAAATCTTATCTGCAGTGCTGTGATCTGTCATTCATAATTAAGGCCAGACATGACTGAGAATCACATTTCTTAAGAGCATGACATGTTTTCCATTAAGGCTTGTATATTAGCGACAGGATATACAATTTTGCTTTTATCCCAAATTCAACTCTGTAAGAGAAATGAACGCTTTACTAAAGCCTTTCAATTGTCTTTGGTGAAAACTAAATAACTGTTATTTAGTCGTCATTGTAAGTCCCGTAATTGAGTCAAAACTCATTCTTCATGTAACTAATTTATGTTAGGCATATATGGTAAAAATGGCCGTGGACGCGCAAAACGATGCAAGTTTCATTTTTGCAGAGTCAAGATATTCGTAGATATTCAGTTCCAGTGATTTTGCGCAGAGAGTAATATTTCATGATTACTGGGTAAGTGAAGGAAGTCAAACAATTTACGCGGTTGCTATCGTAGGATTTGTCTGGCGTAAAGTGATCCAGCTGTCTTTCCCCTGATTAAACGCAGTTGATAGTCATTGACTCCAAAAATAACGTTCGCCGCCTACATGCCTTTATTCGTTCTAGATATTTATCTACTTATAACTTTTAATTTTTAACTATGAGCATGTTTGTGCATTAAAGTTAGCAAGTGATTTCAAAAGGCGTAGGCTGAGTTATATCCTGGAACTGCACTGACTGAATAAAAGAATCAAATCGAAGACTGCGGAGTTGGAGCGAATAATGTTCCTCTCTGTAGACCCGTATCGTTACAGTGAATGAGCAATTTCATTCGAGTATTGTTGCGGATAAAAGCGTAATCTTCAAAACAGAATGTTTCCTCTAACCGCGGAATTAACGATTTAAATCCAATGCGTGGCCAAAGCCGTTAGGTTTTGAATTATGCCAGGAATGCTCATCTGTTTTTGTTCATGAATGTACCCGATGATGCCGTAAAAAGGTGACGGGACCTCCCATGAATTTGTTTTGACGAGGCCAATTTCCAATTTAAATAGTTTGCCCACCTTTGCTTTGCTAATGCCTTCCGGTATCTAGCGTACGGGTGATAGATGTGACCGGTCGACCAAGGCCACATGTTTGGTGTTTTTTCGCGTCGGTTCCAAGCGTAAGTTATGTGCCACTCGTACACTGACCCATGATTTAGCGGATTGTTTTCGACTTTTAATTGCAGCACCCTGATATGCATTTCTACTTAAACGTTAAGGCCTTAAGCACAGATATTGACCCATTATACCGAGTGGTAACCTGTGCCATTCGCACTAACTGTAATTTCTTAATTTTCTCATAAACAAAATGCCCGTTGCTCAGAATATATTCTTATTAGGACAGAATGCACCGAAACATGTCCGGTCGTTAGCCAAATAATCAATTGTTTTTTGAATAGTAGGATCGTTGCGAGTTTTGTCCAAGCGCATAAAATTTTGGCCGAAATTTTGAAATGCGTTTTTGATCAGGTAGGATAACTTAGGTGTCGTTGTAATTCTGATTATCAGGCTACGCAACCCTATGATATTACAGACTTGCCATAATGTCGGCCTCGGAATACACTTCTTTTTGTCCTCCCGCGGAAGCCGCACAACACAAAATATGAGAACTTGGATAGCATGCATATTTCACATTGATTTTAGATTGTCTTATATATTTAAATACATTTTATAAAAAAGGTCAATAAATTATTCTTCATATTACTCAGTTGGTAGAGAGGTACGTTATCTTTACATGCTACACTCGAAAAAAGAACATTTTTTGGTTTTAAAAAGTTTTAAATCATGAGCGTTTTTAACACCGTGCAATGTTTATTCATACAGCATTGTACCTGTCCGTTCGCCAATGCTCTTCATAAAATGAAGAGCCCTGTCCTCATCCGTTGCATAGAGCAATAAACTACTCTCCCTACGCTGAAGGTATTTACCCTGCGGACTAAAATGGTTCAACGTTTGTGCAGCGGCCGATCACGTTCAAAATTATATGGAAATCAGGGAACTGTAACACCTAAAAATATTACTTCTTTGCGTTTGAAATTTAGAGACAATCTCAGTTTCTATCAAATAAATAAAAAATCTAATGTTATTGCGCGTTTTCTATGAAATGTATTTTAATTTATAATAACAGATAGAATCTAATGCAAAAATTGCATGCCATTTAAGTAGTCTTTTTGTACTGGGTGCGTTTTCTACAGCGGGTTGAAAAGAAGTATATTTACAGGTTGACATTCTATCAAGTCTGAAATACTGTAAGATATTGCCGCCTGATAATCAATGTTACAGCGCCATCCAAGTAATTCTTTCCAATCAAAAACGCATTTTAGAATTTCGGGCAAAATTTCATTAGACATTGCAAAATCAATATGATTTTCATCTTTTGAGCCTAGACTGGACGGATCAGAATGTACATAGTTGCGGTTTTTTAGCAAACAAAACGTTTTATTAATTGCAAAACGCCAGTTTAATACACGTATATAGTTTCGCACTCGAAAACCCAGTATAAACGCCTAGAGGTGATGTGCTGTTTAGGCATACTAGTATTACTCTGAGATTCGCAAGTACTCCTTGTGTAGCCCTGATAATATCCATTAGCAGAGGGATGTCAGGTTTAAGTATATTTTAAAATACTTTGTGTATGATTGCGTTTTTGATTGTCTAATGTAAAAACGGAGTTTCTATGACTTTGACAGTTTTTTTCATTATCTTCATATTTATCTTGCCATTATTTTTTGCGTTTACGACTAGGGAACTGTATCTAGAAACAAGCGAAAATAACGACTACAGCTTTAATAAAAAATACGTCCTGGCGTTTGTTTGAAGCAGAAAATGTTCAAATACTTTCCAGGGAAAAGGAAAGGCCAGACAAACGTTCTGGCATTTTGCGCCGACATTACATCCCAATTCGGTAGAGTACGTTACAACCTCTCGGCGAAATACTAAAATAAAGAGCTTTTAAGTAAGCAACTTATTGAGAAAAATTTCTACCTGATGCTAACCATGATCATTGCCGTCTTCTGCTGTGGGTGTTTATTTCACATCGCCGATTAGGTTTAATTTTTAGGAAATCTAAACATATGATCCACGCGACTATCTGCACGAAAATGGACATCCAAAAGGCCAATATACTAGTAAATGCTCCTAGCAATGACTTATTTCGAAAACATTGATTGCAATAAATATAAATGCTGCCATTTCGGGCACTTTATCAAGAATGCTGAAAGCCGAAAGGCATGCAATGACACTTCCAGGGCTTCCACTATCTCAAGCTACCCCGCTGTTGCCAATAACAAAAATATCTTACACAGAAAGTAGTGGTTCACAGTTGCGTCTTTTGATTACATTCGAATGTATTTATTACTTTTCGGCCTCAGAAAATAACCTTATAAAGACTCACCCCTCTGACACAGTCCATTTCGTTTGAATCAATCTAACGTTGTTTTGCTTTCGTGTGGTGCTGTTTCAGAAATTACAAGTTTGCCTTATGCACTGAACTATGCAGTGCGATTTACGGAACACAACTTTCAGAGGATACTGAATTCCAATATATGTATTACTAACCTTTTTGTTGTTAAAAAGCGTAGCATAGAAAGTAATGTCTACCATGCATGTGTTATGTAAAATATTTTTGCACAAATATGGCTAATGTTTTTGGTAATGTAATTACACCATGGGTCCAAAACGATCGTTGCCATTAAGAAGACATCAAACGAGCTATTATTATTTACTTTTGCACATTATTTTAGAAGAATGTTAAACATGTTAATTGTCCTCACCGAAGAGTTTCAGAAACGTATTTCTGAGAGAACAGCATTGCAGAAATAATCACCTCCCGCCAACAGGCATGTGCGTTTTAATCCCGCTTTGAGAACGACCGATTTCTTCGACGAATAGGTTTTATGATTTCCAGAGTCCACAAATATGACTCAAACTGATGTATAATGAAAACGAAGTCTTAAAGATTATCTTGTATGATTAACTACATTTAATATTTATCCGCCTTTGCGGGACATGCATTCAAGGCCGTCTGACGTTAACATTCAGCCAAACTGTAGATAATACACAAAAATGAAGCGTAGGCAGATAGGTAAGTCATGTCTTGAGGCCGAACGGACTCCACAGTACCCAGAGGCACGTCGTAATTACTCACGCGGAACTCCGTACTACTAAAGAGTACGTTTACTTTTTTGATCATTGGTTAAACTCGTGACAAAGCTGTCTTGGAAAGATTTGTATGTTGTGAGCATTCGATAGAACATATTATCACGTGGCAGTTTATAGACTATGTTTCATTGAGAGTAAGGTGATACCATACTAGTACCACAGGTACTAGCCAAAAGCTCATAAACGCGTGTTTAGCCGATATTCTCCCGCTGCATGTCTCATCTGCGAAGGGGTTGGCTCGTCAGCGGGTCCCCCAGCATTCCCACCTGTTTTCTTGTAGGTACCGTCTACCGAAGGTACACAAGGCAAATGTCCCACTCAGGCCAATCGAATCCCTTCGTGGCACTCCGACGTACAGTTTGGCAAAATGGATGTTCTGTCGTCTCAAGTTCTTGGCCGAAGGCTCACCAACAACAGTAGCATCTGCGAACCAATTCCTCGAGCGCATAAAGCATCTGAAGTTAGAGCCAGACGAATCCATGGTATCCTTTGATGTCGTTTCGCTCTTCACGTCCATTCCACAGCAACTAGCGATATACGTTGTTGACCAACTACTGGCAGAGCGCTATGAGGAGTGGGACAATCCCCTGAAGTCTGAACATCTGCTCGAGCTTCTGCGATACTGCCTCAAGACCTATTTCACCTTTGGTGGACAAATGTACGAACAAATAAAAGGCTCTCCTATGGGCTCCCCTCTATCAGACCTAATCGCTGAAGTAGTTCTCCAACGGATAGAACACTCGGTGTTCACCAAGTATCCACTAAAGTTCTGGGCTCGCTATGTCGATGACACCTTCGTCGTTGTCAAAACAACTGACATTGAGCACCTAAAGGAACTACTGAACTCGGTTGACCCGGATATCCAATTTACTATGGAATCAGAAACGAACAACCAACTGCCATTCCTTGACGTGCTTGTGCGCCGGTGTACAACTGGACAACTGCAAACCGCAGAATTCCGGAAATCAACCAACACGAGTCAGATCCTACACTTCAACAGCAACCATCCTCTATCTCACAAACGTAGCTGTGTCCGCACTCTATTCCAAAGAGTAGAAACATACTGCAGTACGCCAGAAGATAAAAGTGCCGAACGAATGTATCTTCAGAACCTATTTGCAGCCCATGGATACCCAAGACATTTTATCGAGAGAAGCAGACGTCGGGCGCACAGACAACGGCCAAATGAGCAGCAACCTGAAGTCTGGAGGGCCATTCCCTACATTAAAGGGGTCTCTGAGGCGGTCTCTTGATTGCTACTACCTGCCAGAATAGGCATAGCCCACCGACCACAGGCAACAATTCGACGCCGTCTGATGCAACCCAAGGACCCATTTCCACCCGCCGAGACCTCAGTAGCCATCTGCAGAATAAATTGCAATGAGGGCGGCTGCAACTATGTGGGAGAACTGGGCGGAAATTGCAGACTCGCCTACAAAAGCACAAATAAGCCATTCGGAGGTTAGACCCAAACTCTCAATAAGCAACACACGTCGGAGAAACTGGGCATACTTTCGATCTCCAGCGAGCTGCCATCTTAGGCCGGGGCAACACAAAAGTCGAATGGCTAACTCTCGAGGCGTGGTTCTCCGATGCCCACTCCATCAACAGGCATCTGGACCTTCCTGCAGCCTACAAAGTCCTACGCCATCACAATCGTAGAACTCAGGACCAAACAACCACACCGAGCTTAAGAAGGCTACACGGAGACAGCCTGACGGCGAGTTTACTCGGTGAAGAAGAAAAAGAACCGCCAGACCGACCACCCGATACTGGTTCAGTCACCTCCCCCCGGCGGAGTGATGACTCACAACGTACGCAGATAAAAAACCCGACAACCATCCCCCGATAGGCCGCGGCAGCAAGAGGAGAGAAAAAAAATCGATCAGCACGAGGCCGACTAACGTAACACGCCCCTTAGGACTCCTGGTGGATTGAGTGCATTTTACGCTTTGACAATGGAGAGCCGACCAAGCTCTTCGAAACGTCACCATCCTAATAAACCTGTTCTGGTGAGCCAACCCTCTTCTTCTTCTTCAAATTTAGCAATTGTGGCTTTTTTAATTTCCTCATAACTTATCCACGAACTTGGAGTACATCAGTTTTTCCAAGGTCTATAAGCTCAGACTGAGAATTTTTTGTATAAATATGTTCTCAAAATTTTATCAGCCACATCGAGTAACCACTTAATATTCATTACCTGCCGACAGTCAGCTGGTAGGTTACTCTAAGCTTAGGTGATACTTAAGTTGCTAAAAGTGTTTTAGTCACATGTCATTATTGTAGAACATATATTTTTTTAGAATTTAGATTTCTGTATTGACTATTCTGTCAATACGATCACAGAGGAGTATGCGAAAATTCCCTGCATTTATGCATACTCTTAACACCCGCTCTAAGTTGCTGGTCTTGGTAACCACAAAAACAGAATGCATCAGTTTGGACGACCCATTGAGGACATTAAATTCCTAAAAGGCATTATACCCAAGTGTACTCAGGCGTTAACACAAAATGCGTAAACAGGGTGGAAAACGTTTTTTTGCGCGAAAAATATATGCTTATCATCGCGCGTGCTAATCGTTGTCTCCTTTTTCAATCACTGACTTATATTTGGGAATATGAAACTACCAATACTTGTATTTTCAAGAAGTTAATTCACCCTACAGACGCCCACTGGTCATGCTGAGTGTCCCGCTCATTCCGGAAAAGGGCTTAATTAAATAGCAATCTAGACGGCATTTAAAGGTTGACGTGTTTATTGTGTTCTAAGCATTTGTTTGTTTTTGTTAACAGAGAACACACTTCAGAATGATAAACCCCTCAAATGACTAGGCACTTCCGATTGTTTAAGCACCCCTCTTGATCAAAACTGACTTTCATTTGAATACTTTTTAAGTTGTAATTAAGCATATATTTTTCATTATTATTTGGATGTTTTAGATAATGCATTTGAACTGGTTTCAAAGCAACTAGGAAACTATGTTGATAGAATATGCTATTTAGCCAAAATAGCACACTCTCTTCACTTCATGATAGACTTATAGTTATAGGCCACCTCCTGCCTACCTAGAGCCGCCACGCTAGGTTGTCAACAACTAAATATTACCCCAAACCTCATAGCAGTAAATTCTGCCTGATCGTTTCCGGCCCCTGTACGCCCCCTTAAGTGGGAGTAGGAAAAATTACTGCATTCAATTTCATCTGCGCTGTCATGTGTTTAGTCATTCGTCTGCAAAGTTGTTGGTTCATCCTGCTTTGGCTCTTCTCCAATTATGATCCATTTTTTGAAAATTATGATGACTGTATACCTAAACTCACGCGAAGACCGCCCTGACATTGTCTCTTCTTTCTCTTACAAACGGCTGTAGTTCCGGGCATATCCGTTTGGCTTGACGTGAGAGCAACCGTCCACGTCCATCACCCATAGTTGTGGCTAGACTCACACCTACGGCAGCTGAACAACAGTAAATGTGCTACGTCATGAAATAGTGAATGCAATTGTTAAATGTGTTTTCGATTGAAAAATATAACTCAGACAGGGTCGTCATATTACCTTTATTTTACATAATGGTCAAATGTTCGATTTACATGATATCGGCTTTCTAATGCGCTTCTTATTGACTGGTGGCATGGGCTATGTTTCCTCAAAAGTGACCGCTTAATTAGCATAAATTCTTCTCATTGTTATTTTATACCCATGTAAGTTTAGATGTATTTTACAGAAATCCTGTCTAACATCCTTTTTAATTTGTTTTTGTGTCACACGTTGCGCTTTTTTTAAATTGTATACATGAGGACATTTTCTAATTTTGGGACATCTTAAGACCGTGATATGGCCTATTGTACAACATGGCTTCAGCATATTTGTTGATGCTGTTAATAAAATTGCATTAATTTACTAGCTCTATATGTTCGGTCGATAACAGCGCATAGAAATGTATGATTTTCCCTGCACAAAAATATACGTCGTGTAGTTTGAATATCCTCAGGACACGTCCACTAGCAAGTCGGGTTCAAAATTATTCGAAGCGTTATTGCGAACTAAAACTACTCTTTCTTCAAGTATAGTTTTTAAAAACATAATTTGCTACTATGTGGGAAAAAACACTTCTATGCATGTTATCAATTTAAGAACCTTATAGTTACAATGGTGTAAAGAATCCGTGATAAACATTCAGGCCAATTAAGTAGTCATTTGTACCGATTATGGTTTAGAACAATAACCAATAGAAGATCTTAAAAACGCGGGCATCCAGAAGTGAATAAAATGTCTTTACACTGTGCTACGTAACGACTGATATGACATCATTCCTTGCTACTACATTACTATTTTCGAATTGGAAACTCATTTTAGAATTTCAGTCTGCATTTTATGAGATAATATATCAAGTGTAATGAGTATTATAGGCCAGTATTGACTAATTTTGTCCCAGCGCACTAAACGTTCTTTTGGGGCGGGAGAGACTAGTGGAGGCCGACCCAAACAGTGCGTGTATCACTGGCATATGTGTCTGATTTACCAGTAAATTTTTATGATGTAAAATTATAGTTGCAAATAGTAAAACTATTAACTTGCCAAACAAAGCATTGTGAGTACCCGTGATACGGAGCCTACGATCGGACACGCACGCACAGAACCTCCTTCTAAAATCTGACTTGTGATAACATTCCAGCGGGTACCTATCTCACATTCTACCTTTAGGTCTAGCTTTTATGGCAAACCTTCTCACCCCGACACCAAATTAAACTGCTGCCTAAACATTGGATTTGACAGCCATTACCCTCGAATCAAGCGCAATGCCACCCCTCATGCATTATGCTCACGTATCTGCACCCTGCCAAATCTATTCGTTAACAACAGTTAATGTTTATTTCATTAATTAGTATACGTCTTATACAACATCCTCCATTATTTTTCCTGCATTAAACATCTTTGTGTTTTTTCCACTATGCGTGTTTGCTGTGCTCATTACGTGGTTCGACTTTCAAACGTATCACATTTCCAAACTGCTTACCCTCCTTTATCTCCAAATATTCGTCCTCATTTTCTTGCAGTCGTTCAAAGCCTCGCTTCTGCTCCTCATACCGCAGTCTGCAGGTTTCGCTAGAAAAAGCAAATTCCTTGGAGAAGGTGACTTGAGTGGCCGGTTTGTCTATCGTCCAGCAGATGGCTGGTGAACGGTCCTCCCAACCGCCCACCGCCTTGGCATCCAGGAAACACTGTCGCACACTCGTAATCACTCGGTCATATGCGCAGGTCTTTAGGGAGGCTCCCAGCACATGACCTCCCACCGTATGCGACCGCTGCAATCCAGCCGCCTGCGGTGAACTTATCCACTGCGGCTCCTCTCCGGCAGAGAGATGCAGACGTGTCGTCTCCGCAAATTTCGGTCGGCAGTGGTGGTGTTGACAGCGCCTGACGTCGAACATCTGCCGGCAGGCCCCTTCACGAAACACCCGACGAACAAAGTGGTAGGAGAAGGCAATCCACCAGAGCCTCGGCTCATCGCTCACAGCTGTGCGAATCCTCGCAGCCACATCGTCAAGGTTCATGGCGGAGGTGAGTGACTGACGACTCTGGCAGTTCCAACATTCAAGCAGGTAGACCAGATAGAACATGGTCAGAAGGGAAGCCATCAGGCAGTAATGGACAGGTTGGCAGTAGGCTGGCGTATGTGTCTGAGATGCGACCTGGGCATCTGTAGAGGTTGCATTGCGTGTCTCAGGGGAGGCCTGCTCCCGAGGGATTCGGGCTTTCAGGGCGAGTATTGTCTTGAACTCCAGCGGAGAGCCAGACTGATGTTGATATCGCCTTAGGCAGGAGGAGGACGAGAGTGACATTATCGAGCACCAGAGGAGACAGACGGTGCAACCTGATACAAGAAGGGTCAGAAGGAGGCAGCGCCATTCCCGCAGGCCGAATATGAATATTTCCTTGCAACGGCGACTCCTCGGTGCGACCTGCAAGGGGGCCGAAGGCGTGCCGTTTGAGCAGATGTAGAAAGAATTATAATGTAAGCAAAAGTTTGGGCTCAGAATAGCTCAGAAAGGCAACCTCTTGAAATGTGTGTGCTCAAAAACGTGTCTGCCAGTAAATGAGCCGAAATCGGAACCGCCCACAAATTCACAAAATTTTGGGCCGAGAAGGCAAGCGACTCGAAAAACCTACGCAACTAAAAAGCATACTCACGTGTACCGACTTTTCAACAATATATGACGGGCAAAGCAAAGTAAATGTGTTACCACATGAAATCCTAAAAAATTCCCCAATGTGCTTTCGATTCGGAAAAACCCCTTAAAGTGGGTTGACACTGTATGTGCCTTGCAGCAGAATCACAAAACATTCCAGTTGCAATAGGACCCTGGTCTTTGAACGAGTCTATATCCATTTATGTTAAAATGATCATTCAGGTGGTGCGCATTTCTCACTGATCTTGATGTTATTATAAATTAAAATACTCTATATTAAGGGAACTTACAAACTTGTTTTTCTCACGCTCCTTTTGTATTTTTTACGTCCTCTTGGAAATATTTTTTTTTTAAATGGAAATGCCTTTATTTTTTTTCAATTTACGAATAATTTCGGGCTCTGCCTGGCGGTAACCTTGCGCTCAGGGTCAGAAAAATATCACACGTTCCTCCATGCAGTTAGGAGGAAATGATATAGCAGTAGTGAAATTATGCTCGAAATCTGGACCAGGTTGTATACATGTTCAGGATCAGTAAAAAACGTGCTGATTTGATGGTGTATAAATAAGCACATCACGGTTTTAAAAGTAATTGTAATTTTAAGCTTTCTTAAAACCAAAAAAACTTTGTTTCGATTATTGTATTTGACAACAACGCAGCTCACGACCATATGTGTACGGGAAATACTATTTCTCCGTACGTATCCTATAAAACTTAATGACGTTTATTAAGGCATCGGGATTGAATGAAAAACATGTATACTAATCAAGAAGGTATTCTCCGCGGTGTAGTTACTGCCAGCTGTTAAAAGAAGCTTCATTTTAAAGTCGACATCCTGACGTGACCAAAATATCTTAGGGTTATGTTTTCCGATAATTAGTGTTAGAACACTACTTAGGTAGTCTTTTGGGGTCGCCAAAACTTTTCAGAAATGTGGCTAAGTTTTCGTGAGATAGCGCACTTTTTGTAAACAAAAATGCTCTGTTGCAAGTTTATTAAGAAAAATATTGTTACATAAGGTTCTGGACACCATAGGATAATGAAAAACATCTTGTTCGAACGTAATTAGGGGTCAGATTCCTTTAAAAGTTTTGCCTCTTTAATCTGCATCAGGGAAATTCGAAAGCGATGCGATATGCATATACTTAAAAAACGCATCTTGATTTCTTTTCAAATCGAGTTTGGCGGGGGCAAAAATAAACTCATTGTTAACATTGTGATGCAGATAACGTGAACTTCAGGCCAGCTACGATACGCCCCGCCGTTTCGATAGACCATTTGCTCTGAACTATATGAACGATGTTTGAGCTATTTACTATAGTCCTCTTTAGTACACCAATATAAATACGCAGGACATGCGGCCCCAAAGGACGAATGGAATTCCGACAGCATGTGTGGGAACCTGGCCAACCAACCCAACTGAAATGCCAAAGCCCTCCCTGACCAGTCCATAATCTAAGCAGTATTCTGTCATCTGTGGTTTGCTTGGCGCGACATTTTGCAATCCGTGTCGTGACGGACCTGAGAATTAGCCACAAATGTCATGGGTTGTCTATCCCAGCAAAATAATGCCCGGTTTTGACTAAAACATATGTGTAAATCAATCGTTTTAATCGCCAGACCATCTATGATATTACAGTTTATCTGTTTAGTTTTCCTAATGGAATTTAAAAAATTTTATTTTTATTGTCATTTACGAAAAGCTGTTGGCTACATAATTCATATTTCACTTCTAACCGGAACCATTTGCGCTATCTTTGCTAATGTTTAGTTCCCATTCAAAAGTCGAAATACATGAGAGAGTAGCCTTATTTATAATAGCATTTTGCTCCAATTTCTAGCGCACGGTCCATCCTGTTTCTAAATTGTTTGCCGGAAGAATCTTGACAGCACAAAAGCATCTCAAACGTGCTGAAAATTGAAAATGCTCATTTGCTGATTAGTCATTATGTTGTATTCGCAAATGGCAGGAAAATAAGTTTGGCTTTTAAAAATGGTTGTATTTAGTCCTTATTTATTTGTCTTCAACGGGTGATCATAAAGGTTGGCAAATCTGGCCTTTTATATCAATTGAGAGTCTGCTGATTTAAAAATATTGTGCTCGATGGGCTCTCTTGCAGTCATGTTATCCGACAAAATACATACCTTTCAATGACGCAAGTTGCACAATTGAGCGGGAATTGAAATTGTTCAATGCTTAACCAATCTCCTTTGTTAATAGTTCACCTTAGCGATAGGTGGGCGTTATTGAGTACATTGACCTAAATGAATATGATTCAGTTGGCAAAAGTTTGGCTGTTTCATACTAAATATTTCGCCTCGATAAAAGGTGAACCAGTATGTAAAGAAGTACGTAAGGGAGAAAAATGCGATAAAACAAACGCATTCGTTGCAGCGGAAGCTGAACGCGACGGCATAGGTAACAGCTAAGTAATTGGCAAAGTTGAGAGATCCGGATTGGTTATTTGAAGAAGACGAAGAAGAAGAAGAAGAAGAAGAAGAAGAAGAAGAAGATAGGCTCTCTGGAACAGGTTTAATTAAATGTTGACGTTTCAAAGAGCTGGGTCGGCTATTCATTGTCAAAGCGTAGTATGCACTTAAACGATTATATATTTAATTTAAAGTGACATGTTGTGTTGGTCGGCATCATGCTGATCGATTTTTCCCTCCTCTCGCTGCCTGGGCCTCTTTGTCGACGGGCATTTTGTATGCGTGCTTTGAATCACCACTCCGTTGGTCGGAGGTGATTGAAACTTTCTCGGGTAGTCGGTCTGATGGTTCTTGTTCGTCCTCACCGAGTAAACTCAGCGTCAGGCTATCTCCTTACGGCCGTCTTAAGTCCGATGTGGTTGTTTGGTCCTGAGCTCTGCCATTGTGATGACGTAGGACTTGGTAAGCTACAAGAAGGACCGGATGCCTTTTTATAAAGTGGGCATTGAGAACCCCGCCTCGAGAGTTAGCCGTTCTGTTTTTGTGTTGCCTCCGCCTAAGATGGTAGCCCTCTGGAGGTCAAAAATATGCCCTGTTTCTCCAACGTGTATTGCTAGTTAAGTGTTAGGGTCTAAACTCCGAGTGGCTGATTTGTGCTCTTGTAGACGAATTTGCCACTTCCGCCCGGTTTCGCCCATATAATTACAGTCGCCCTCATTGCACTTTAGTTTGCAGATGACTGCTGAGGTTTCAGTGGGTGGCAATGGTTCCTTAGGTTGCATCAGGCGACGTCGAAGTGTTGTTTGTTGTCGATGGACAATGCCTACCCTGGTGGGTTGTAACAGTCGCGAGACCGCTTCAGCGACCCCTTTAACGTAAGGAATGACCCTCCGGACTTCGGTTTGCTACTCAATTGACCGTCTTCTGGGCGCCCAACGTCAGCATTTAAATAAACATGTTCCGGAGAGCCTATCTTCTTCAAACTAGCTAAGAGCCTAGACACATGTTTTGCCGATAATCTGCCGTTTCAGGACACAGCTGCGAGGTCCTCGAGCGTTTCCCGGTGATTTCTAGTAGATGCCTGAATTTCAAAATTCAACTTTCTAATTTCCTCAGAAATTGATCGCCCACTTGGAATAAATCAGTCTGTTTTAAAATTGTGGAGAATCTACCTGAACGCACACGGGGAAACGCTGGAGGACCCACTGATAGGCCGAATCGGTTGCAGCTTTGCTTTGTAGCGACAGCGTATCGACAGAACGTTGTCTGGACTTTTAGCTGGTGCCTGTGCTATGCTTCCCATGCATATACTACTGACTGTCTGGCAATAGCCTGTGGTTATTGCGTAGTTATTTCGCTGTAGCCGATGGACGCTGGTCAAACATTTTAGCAACTTTTACTATTATCCTACATACTAATATTCATCGATTCAGCCATTAACACTGAAGGAATTTATAAAGCATCAAAAAAGCATTCAAATTTACGAATTCTGGTTTACAAATCTGTGCGATTTTACGCCCTAATGAGGAGCAATAACCATAACAGTCAATACAATGTCTTTACCAAACTAGAGTATTTCGACATTTGTCAGTATCATATATGTGATTGCGAAATATGCCAAGCAGTCTCGTTTGCGCTAACATGTAATTTAGAAGGACGACCGGCATGCTACCATCAGTTTAAGAAAAGTCACTCTGTGAAGTTTTTATCATCATAGGACAAGATCGAAATGTAAGCAAGCATACCGAAGATGGTTCGGATTCAAAATGAAAGGAAATTTATTCCGTTTACGCTGAAACATTTTTGCGTTAAGTAGCTCAATGCTCCGACAGTGCTGTACGAGCATGTTATCCTCTCGGTTCCAATCTGGAATATTAACTACTAGGTTTGAGCGTTTGAGATCGAATACGGCACATGTTCCCTGGTTGCGCCTTAGGATTCAACTTTGAGACCTCACGGACAGTCGCAATCTTCTTGTGCTTAGGCGAGTGTTCTGGGATTTATCTTCGACCACAGAACGAAATCTTAAATTTATTAAAGTAAACAAAAGAAGTCGATATAACGAACAACATGTGTTTTTGCGTCTGCGACAGGAAATTTAGCATCCCCCAGAGAATTGCACGAACGGACAATTCATCATAGAAATAATCAACTGAGGCTGTTTTAGAAGGCAGTTCATTTAATTAGTGTGCAAACACTCAGGCCCAGACTTTTCGCAGGCT